TACAGCAACTGTGGAGCGCAATTTTAGTACAATGAATGGAATATTAACTGGTTTACGAAATCGCTTAACAACAGAACATTTGGAAAAATTAATGCGAATATCAATAGAAGGACCAGCTGATTTAGATGATGATATAAAAAATATAATTATTGATAATTGGAAAAGTAAAAAATTACGGGAAATTTCGGTTTAAGATAGATTTATTGTTTTCCTCTCAATGCTTTTCTTCTCAATGTATTTTGTTCTCAACGTGTTTTCTCCTCAATCTGTTTTCTTCTCAAAATGTATTCTCATATTATATTGGTAATAGAAGCAGTGTAATAGTATATATGAAAAAATTAAATAAGAATCTTGGTGTGCGTTTGCTGCATAATAAAAATATTTTTTGGCCAGCAGCCACTCCAAAAATTTCAACCGCCCATCCGAAAAATGGAACCTAGATGCATTACTGGGTGTGAGGGTGGGTCTGCATCCCGAAGATGAGAGGACCACATGCGTACCCACACCCTCAAACAACGGAAAGAAAAAGTTCTTAGAAAATTTGTGTTGTATGTGCGCATACTAGTAGAAGAGCTAAAAAGAGAACAGATTCACGTTATATATGTAAAAATTGTGATATGAGTCTTTGCGTAGTTGGTTGCTTCGAGGAATTTCATACCTTAGTAAATTTTTAGTTTTTTTCTGGCGTGTTTTTTTTTTCATTTCAAAATAAACCAGTTGTATCTTTAAATGAAGTCTAAGTGCAACAATCATGGTCATTAATAATTTTCAAAGTATAATTAATTTTGGCAATAGAATTTCATTTTTTATGACAAAAAAATAAGGCTGCCGTCAACAGATTAAATATATAATTAAATGTCCAACTTGAAAGACGTCCACATCGAACATATTGTGAACAATACATATCATGATATTTAACAAAATATGAATTTATTGGTAAATCACCATCATCTAATGATACTTCCAATTAAGATTTCTTACTGGTTAAGAGATACTTTGAATATGAACATCAAATAATCTTTCAGTTGAATCAGCACGATTTTTGTTTATATTAATTTATAAATACCACCTTGATTTAAACGAATTTTTAACATAGAAATTAAAAAAGACAAGAAAAAAAAATTATGATTAAATATTTTTTACAGAAAAAGGATATTTTACATAAAATGTACAATCAATTGAACAAAGATCATTCTTAGCTATTCATTCGTAAGCACCTGCATTCTTTGCTAGAGTTTTAGTAATTATTAATTTAACTGTATTACCAATAACATCTAATTATATATGATTATCTCATACAATTGAATGATGATTTTTCAACCAAAGATTTTTATAATTATTCAAATATGACTATTATATTTTACTATACTTATCATTTAAATTCAGATGTTGAGTCATGTTTAACATTGGTAGCTAATATAACAGTTCGTCCATTAATGACTGTAATAGATTCCAATTCTTGAATAAATTTTGGTTTTTCACCAATAATTGATTCGCGTATTTTAGTTTCTTTGGTAGAATTTGATTTATGTCTTGTATGTAATGGATGCATCTTTGTTGCTATGTCTTCAAGTAGTTCAGTCGGCGCTTTAGAGGAATACGAAAAATAAACAAAGGTATGATAGTAGAAAAAAAAAATTTCTTTAACTTATATTCAAGCAGTTTGTTATTCATTTACATAACCTGTGATAGATGAATCACCATCTTTAATTGCTAGTTGCTAATTTAAATCAAGCTATTCATTACCAATCGCATTTATAGTTAAATCAAAAGATGCAATCGATTTATCTCAATCATTTTTTTTCGTGTTTTTTTGAAAAATCAATTAACATAGGAAATGAATTTTTAGTAACAATAATTCTTGATGAAGCTTTTGCTTCTGATTGATCAACTTGATTACAAGCAATTATTCGAAATTTATATTTACTTCTTTCAATAAGTTGGATGTGTGTGTATCGGTGCATGAAAGATCAATGTACACACTCACATCCATACTTTAATTCAATATGGCGATGAATTAAATCAATAAAAGTGACTTTAAATACATCATACATGCCAAACCTGATAGTTGAATTCAATTATCGGATTACTTAATACGTTTATATATGAGTTCGATTATTGAAGATCTTTCAGATATTCAACTATTCAATTATTCGTCTCTTGTTGAGGGTGCCATGAACTCACACACAGGACATCTCTCTCAAATATTTGAACATTGGAACTTAATTATTGAATAGGTGAATATCTGAAAGAGTCTTCACTAATTGAATTAAACTTTCAAATTTGATAATTTCCTAGTAGATAAAGTTAAGCATACGAAATAGATTTGTTTTAGCACAAATTAAAACTCTATATAGTTTCATATAAATATAATATTTTGTAAAGATTTTTCTTATTATCTTATCCTTTAAAAAAATCACTTTTTCAATAAGAAAATAAACATAAACAATCTCGAAAAGTTAACAATAAAACTTTACAAAAAAAACTAATATTAATAGTTTTGATTCAACTAATAAATGAAAATGAGTAATTTTATCTTCAAGTTCTTATCAATTTACTATTGCGTAAATCAAGTAAACCAAGAACAATGCATACTATTTATTGATTTTATTTGTTTTCATTGACAATAGACATAATAAATAATTTATATTGAAAAATACTTTCTTTCCTTTGAAATTAGTTTTAAAATAAAAAGTTTGTTTTTGAATTCTTAATCAGAAAATGATCTTAACTGAGATTAGTTTGTCTTTTTTCTTAATGGGGAACGATCAAAACAAATAGCTTTTTTATTGAATTAAAACAAGAAAAATTATTTGATTACAATTATTTAAAGATGATTGTCAAAGATTTAATTGTTTTATATTGAATATGAAAGTATGTTTAAAATGAATCTATTTATTATCAATGATAATAAAATAATATTTACATAATCGAAATTTGATTTACAAAAAAAAAAACTAGATAATTCTATTCTAGTTTTCATTGAAGTATCAATTTCATTTTTATCTTTTTGATTTGTTATATAAGTGTGTACTATCAAATATTTCGTACAATTTACTATTGTAACAAAATCAAAGAATCTTTATTAATAAATAAGAAGATCAATAATGTTCTCATCACGTATTATATTATTTATATTAATTATATTATTATTATTAAATTGTTATTGTCAAGGTCAAAATGAAATTCGTAATGCTGTTAAAACTAAAACTAACAGAAAAATCAATGAAGGAAAACAAGATGCTAGATATGTTAAAGATAAAACTCGTGAAACAATTGATCGAACTGATGCTAAAATAAATCGAAAACAAAAAAGTGCTAGACGTAAAATGCATGCCATTAAAAATATAATTAACTCATAAGATATTTTATCTATTATGTAAGAACATCATTTATCATTTTAATATACTTCACTTTGTTTATTTGTTTTTTTTAATTTAAAATAAAATCTTATTTATCATTATTACAATTGGAATATAATCATTTTAAAATAAATAATTATTCAGATTATTTTTATTGATTTATCTTTACTTATTATTTATAACAATCTCTATTGAATAATTATGATTAAAGAACTGCGTTATTTTAAGTAATTATTCATTACCAAATCAATTGCTCATCAAGCCCCTTAGCGGCAATGATGATAAGTGTCAGATAAACGATGAATAAATAAAATGAACATATGTTTATATCACTCTCTATGAATCCGTTTCTATGTTCACTTTAACTTTCAACATATGATGAAGAAAGTTATATTCATCCATATTTCATCTACAGGAAAGTAATTTGATAATCAACTGAGTTGGCATACCATATCAATCATATTCAATTTAGATTCATTTTATATGATGAATGCATAATAAAACTTATCATCACATACCTTACAAATGAGCAACAGTGATCTACTCTCAAAAGAAAATAAACTGTAAATTTAATCACACAATTGAAAAACATTGAAATCATTATATCAACTGAGAGTTTTCCACTACGATAAACTATACAGCAATCAACTGATCAATCATTTTTGAGTCGAGAATATGTGAATTATGTAGTTCCTAATGAGTTATAAATACTATGAAAAGAGTTCTGGCCAATAGTTTATTGGTGTGGAGATACTGAATTTTTACGGTATTTTTTAAGAGAATGCCGTGGTCCTCCTCAAGAATACTTCAAAAACTGATTTTCGAATTTCAACTTGAAACTTAGCAGAGAGATACATCTTAACTAGAATAGTTTATTGTGTAAGTTTCAGATCTCTTGATTTGCTTCTATCGTCAATATGAATATCGAATCTGCCAGTGTATATGAGCGATGTAAAAGATACGCTTTTATCATAGTCGTATTTTAAGATAAGAGCCAACCACAAGATCTGAAACTTTGTTTTTTTGCCACACATTCGGCTTATTTTCATTACTCTCATCACATCCTAGGTGACACTCTGCTTATGCTTTTTATTACAATATGAAGTAATACCGCACGCGGACACAATAGTTATACTTACTATACATTATTGGAACTTGAATAAACTTTCTGTTAGGTATCTAGAACATAAAAGAACAGGTACTATCTTTTTAAGTACTTACCTAAGAAAAAAATGGCGAACAAGAAAATATGACAAGATATATACATGTACTTGATAACGTAACATTAATGTCATGTCAATCATCATGTGCCATGGCATAGGAACGGTTGTGTAGAATGTACGTCATATCTTCGAATAGATTTCAACAAAATCTATCCATCGGTATTCAAAATAATTCAAGCTGTTTTTCTCTGTTTTTGAGTTATGCTATTCGACCTGTGTAGATAATATTTGAAAAATGTTTAAATTAATGAGTTGTTATATTTTTATTGTAAATCATTGTTAAGAATGATACTAAAAAGAATAGATTGAAGTAAATTACTCAAAGAAAATTCTTCGATTATTCTCTATCGGATTTCTAATTATTCGCTTGTTCCTTTCATCTCTTATCTATTTAAGCAAAATAATACTGTTTGGAGAAAAATATCTATTTTTAATATAAAATTAATATATTTAAATTTCTGTGTATTCTCATTTGAAAAAAATCTGAATAAAATAAATGTTCTAGCTTATTACGATACATCTATCAATCAAAATAAATTACGTGTAGAAGTACTTGCCTATCTTATATCAATGCTAATTTAACTGATTTATCTTCCAAATTGAACAATTCGTAAGAATTGCTATTCTAATTTCCTGCTCGAATGCATATCGTATAATAGAAGTAAATATCTTTTCATCAGACAATTGATATATCATTTTTTTGTCTAAACTTTTGTTTCGATGAACTATGGTTGAACACAGATCAGTTTTTGACATCCAAACTTTTGACTGCTCTTTTGTTTCTGGATCATAATGATAGAACCAAGATTTATTACCAGTTATAATGTCAAATACACGATGAGATTGACCTTCTTCAAATCTCTTCAATGAATGACGACAAAATTGAATGTACCACTGTTTTTGGCCATCAGTTAACTGATGTGGCATCTGCCGAGCACAAAATTTGCGTAACTTCAAATATTCATGAATAATTAAATTGATTGCTATGGAACTAATATCCAAGGTGTCTTCTATTTGTTCATACAGTATCAGTCGTTTGTTCGTTGACAGATGTTCGAGGATGACCTGGACGGACAGCATCTTCAGCACTAAAATTGTCTTGCTGAAACTCATGAAACCGATAGAGGACTGTGCGATTGGAAGATGCTTGGTCCTTCCATGCTTGTACTAAATGAACATGGCTACCCTTGTGTGTTAAACCAATTTTTCAGTCATATCAAATTATATTATGAAATTGTTCATGTAAGACTTGAAAACTCACGTCGAAAATGATGTGAGAGTGATCTGAAAGAAATGACAAAATACAACGAGGTGTAAGACGTAGAAATCTGAAATTAATCCCAAAGATGTTTAAGTATTATAATAGAATACTTGTCCTCAAATTATAACTTCTAGAAGAACTGAACAAAAAAACTTTTGTAGTGCTCTATGTATTTTCTATTTATTATAATAATCTATTTATTAAATAAAATAATTCTTATTTAAATAAGATTTATTCGTAATAAATTCTTTCATTGCGTTATTTTTCTATAATAATTATAGACAAATTTTCATATTATCATTTTTTTTTAATGGATTATTTATATGGAATTCATTCGAAATAATATTTAAATTGAATTCGATGAATTTTAACGAGTAAAATAAAAGTTTGATAATAAATAAATAATCAATAGAAGAATCTACTTTTCTTTTTACTTTCATATAAAATCATCAGAAAAAATCTCACGAATAAATAAGATTGAATTGATATATAGTGTCCTCTTCTGGAATAATATTTAATTGGTAATAGATGATTAATAGAGAACATCGACTCGAAGATATATTCAGAATAATATTTATTTAGTTTTATTCAATAAATAAATAATACATGGCTCTTCGTTCATCTTATACGTATCCGTTTCATGGAATATTTTATTTAATAACTCATCCATCATTATGGAGACAGATATCTTGTGGTCTAATTATAATGCTAATAGGATCAATAATTGCATCAATATTATTATTTGTATTTGCTTTTCCTAGTCAAGCACATGGTTTATCATCACATATGGCTGAATGGATATCATGGGTATTAAGTTTTTTTTTAACATTAATTGAAATAGCCATTTCAGTTCTTGTATTTTCTTCATTATTTCTTGCATATTATATGGAAATTATATTTGATGCTGTTTGGCGTCAAGAAACAATGGGAATAAATGAAATTCAAAGAGAAAGATTATTATCAAGAACATATTCTTTTATTAAATCATTTTTAATATTAATTATAGTTCGTGTTATTCTTATTGTAATAACATCTCCATTAAATTTAATTCCAATTCTTGGAACAATTCTTTATATATATATAAATGGATATTATTATGCATGGTCATTACATTGTCGTTATTTTGATTTACTTGGTTTAACTTTTTCACAAGGTTTGTCTTGTCTCTTTTTTTTTGATTTTTATTTATTTTTTTTTCGTTTAAAAGGAAAACATTTTGTTGAAGAAAATCGATCAGATTATACAAATTTTGGTGTAGTCGGTTTATTATTAGAAATGATTCCATTATTAAATTTAGTAACACCAATAACAAATGTTATTGGAAGTTCACTTTGGGCTTGTGATATTGAAAGATATAAAGAACCATTAAGACATCCAAGAAGTTATTTATTAGCACCAAGTTCAAGCTTAATTGAACAAGAACAAACTAGTTATGGAGCTACAAATATTGAAAAAGGACAAATTCCTCCGCCACCAACTTATCAAGATGTTATACAAAGTAATATGTATCCATCGGCTCCACCAATTGAAAAACAATAAATTTATGTTTTGTTTTTTTCTTAATATTATTTATTTCTTTATTATCGAAAATCCAGCATTTTACATATAAAAAAAGGATTTATTTGGTGCTTTGCTATAATGTTTATTCGATAAAACTATTGAAGTAAGAGTTTGCCGAATTACAATTGAGTTTAGGTATCGAATTTTTATGTTAATATTAGATAGATCGGTGTTTTTCTATGTTATTTATCGATGTATTTAATTTATTTTCAATAAAAATTTCAGTTGAGATACGAAAAGATTCTTTATTTTTTTTTAAGGAATCATTTTAATAATGTTGATGGTTAACTTACATATTGGCATTAATCAATAAACCTTTTCATATTGATCTTTAAAATAAAGCTTTTTCAATGAGTGAATTATTACAGGTTTTTTTTTGTATTTCTAAAATGACAACAGTCTTACTTAATTGAGAATGTTGGACTCGCTTGGTATTGATGTGGATTCGGGTCTGAATTTATCAGTGTGTTTATAAGATAGATATCCACACCCACACATACACCTACTCTAGCCAATTCATTTTACGCAATACTATTAGGATACGAATAATTTCATATTTAATTGAGAAAATAATCTATAATCGAATAATCAGCGTTCACAAAACGATACATACTGTAAACAATAGTCAAATTTACAGTTAAAGAATTGAATTTAGGAAAGACAAAAAGCAGCATATGAATAATTCCAGCTATATATAGGAACATGAGCTTGCAATATTTGTTTATGAGAAAGTAAACAATTCTAAATAAATAGACTAGCAGAGAAATGAAATAATGGACTCAAACGACAAATATTAGTATTAGGTAAGTTTTTTAGAATAGTAGATTGAATATCGATCACGTATAATTGATACAGATGAAAATGATTACATAATTAGCGTCTTGCAATAGCATCATTTTATTATTTTCACAAAAATTCTAAATCCTAATATCAAGATGATTCTTTAAAGAGAACTGGCATATTATGACAATCTTTTTAAACCGATCAAAACCAGCTTAACTTCAATTGATCAGTTATAACTATTCAAATATGTATTTCAAATAAAAGCAAAAAAATCAAGTAGATAAATAGAACGTGAGACAGCTAGGTGTACATGCAGAGACAGATCACAGACAAGAAATTGTTGAAGTATATTGAAGTAGGAAATAAAAAAAAAAAGATACCAATACCCATTTGAGAAAAAAAAACACCTGTGATAATTTTCGGATGACTTTTGATATAGATGAGATAGAGAGCTGCAATTTTCACCTATATAAAAATGAAGTAAAGACAACATCGAATTGTTTATTTTGGGTTTTTTCGATTTATTTTTTGAGAAACCAACATACTCTGTAAAGTACCTAGAGTGAATTTTCAGTTATCAGATGTGCACCCCACCCGCCAAAGGAAGACCGTAAAACTATGGAAGTCACAAATTTCTCTTAAAAGAAACCATTTTTTGATACCTTTTAAATAAATGTGATTAAAAAAACTTCATAGAACATTTTAGGAGAGTCTATAATATATGATTCGATGTGACATCATCTCTTTCTAATGTTGAAAACTGCAGCACTTTTTCATCTTTCGATCAAAAATTATACAAAAAAAAATAACCACCGGGTTGTTTTTTAATGGACATTAGAGGCAATTGATGGTGCCAATGTCTTCTAAGTATAACTTGGACAATCAACCTCGGCCAAAAAACGTTTCAATAATATAGTGAAAACTACGGGATCCTGTATAAGCGCGAAGAAACTCGTTCCCGGTAAGATTAATTCACTTGATTGTGGAATCCAACTGAATATATTATCTGGTTGATTTCGAAAGATAGCTTCATCGTGGTCACCATCCACTATCCAAACTGGTAACTTCTCATCAATTCTTTTAAAATCTTGTTGAGTCCATTTTGGAAGTGTAGCCCACATCATTGATAAAGCATTGTACACTTTCGCATAGTCATTATCTGGATTCATTGCTTTGTATTCAGCTTTAGAACGAACAACGAAGGCCGTCGCAACAGGTGAAATAGAAATATCTTTAAAACCAGAAGGATCATAATTTGCTACAAATACAAACAATGAAATCAATCTATTTCGATGATTCATTGCTAAGTTAAGACCAATAATTCCTCCATCACCCCATCCAACTAAATGTACTCGTTCAATTTTAATATAATTCAGCAAAGCAATAACATCAGACATCATCAGATCAAATGTAATATTAGCGGATGATATGGTACTTCGACCTTGTCCTCGTAAATCCATCAATATACATCGATAAGATGATTTGAGTTCTTGAACCTGTAATCCCCAATAATCACTGTTAGCTAAACCAGCATGAAGAAAAAGGATAGGAGGTGCTCTTTTGGGTCCATAAATTGTGTACCATATCCGAATATTATTGATATTAGCATATTGACCAGTACAAGGAAAAGGAAGTTTAGGAGTTCGTGGCAGTCGTAGCCATCGATATTTTGAGTATAATATTGTTGAATTTTCAGTTGTAATATATGGTAAAAAGCATATGAGTAAGATAAATACACTATGCATTATATACTTGTTATTTTTGTTGTATATTAATAAATTTCGATGTATATATCAAGAATAGAAAAAATAAATATATAATAAATCACAATTTTTCTCAGTGAAGTAAAAAATAAAGACAAATATTTATTAATAGCAATGAAGATGGATGTGTGCAATGAAGTATAAATTTCATTTTTTTTCTGATTTAGCCTTTATTTTAGTACAGAGCAGGAATAAATAGATTGAGTCTGATAAAACAAACTTGAGTAACGAGATGTCATAAAGTGCGACGGTTTTCTACGTGCCTTTTGTAAGCTAATTTCTATGAACAATTTCGATGTTGCCTTCATAAATATTTTCAAATAAACAATTTTCTGAACAAAAATGTTATACTACGCATATTATTCATGTCTGTTGTTTTAGATGATTCTAAACAACAAATGTGAAACAAAAAGACAGGATTAATTACTATATAAGATTACGCTAATCAAGTACTCTTAAAAGAACAATAATTTTTACGTCTAAAGAAGACTTTGAAAAATGTACGTATTCTACATGAGTTATGTTTGTTGAAAAAGTGATGAGTAGATAAATATCTCAGAGAATTAATTGTCTATAAGTGAAACAAAAACATTCAAGAAAGTTGAACTTTATCAATGATAGATTTCAAAACTCAACTATCTATTGTGGGTCACAATGGCGATTATTGAAAAAATCTAGATCGTTTTAATCCATAAGAAATTTTTCTAACTTCATTGATTAATCGTACTTTTCATGAGGTTTTATTTTTTCGATCTTCGATCATACTGGATATACAAAAAGAAATCTTCTTATAGCTAGTGTGTTTTCGTTTTTACTAAACAGAAAGATTTTTTTGTCTTTTCTCTAAGAAAAATATTAGTCCTTTACGTCTATAATATTGCCTAACTATGCTACATCTAGTATACTTAAAAACGCAGAAAAGTTGTCCTGTTCACACTTTTTCATCATATTTCTATATGAATCAACTGAATTACTCGCCATATGGAGAATATTGATATACGTGTAGGAAAATAGATTGATGATGTAGATAGTGGCTGCAGAAATAGTGAAGGGCACATTTTTTGAATGCAATGAGTGCATAATCATGTTTTATCTTATAATTAAGTTATATGCACACATATAAACATCTCAAAGCAACCAGATTCAGTTGCAAAATTATTCGCAGCATTTACAATGACCGAAGAATAGAATTCTCTCGACTGTCATGAAAAAGGACTTTTGTACATTCTCCTCCACTTTTGCGGCTTCTGTATATGGCGATAGTAAATACCGCTGTTATATGATTGTCTTTATCAACAGTATTCAACATTAATTTTCGTCAAAAATACTTTACAATAAGCATTGAGAACAAAAGAAAAAAATCCAATGTATGTATATGTATGCTGAAACTGAAGATGTAAAGATTATTTTGAGGTGAAGCGTAGATGAAATATAAGAGGTGTATAAATATACGAAGCATATGGCAATAAGAACTGTATGGATGTGTTGGGATCAACTGTTGTGTCATAGTCCGGCTCAAATCATGTTATGTCGGCTTTGGATATGAATCTGAATGTGAGTGTGTATGGACGTATGCGAAGAGGAGGCCTATAATCACACTCTAGTGTAGAAAAATGAAGTAAAGTAATGTAGTCAATTAAGTTTAAGTTTATTATTCATTTATTAGCTAATTATCATGCATTGATAATATTACAAAATATGGGAGTCTATTCGAAATCTTTTCTTCAATAATAGATGGAAAATAAAACGAATTAAAACTGAAACAACAACATTTTACGACAGTTTTATCTGGATAAAGTTGAGCGGCGTTTGTAAAAAGAAAAAAGTAATAAACTCAATCTTAATTGACTACATTACTTTACTTCATTTTACTTTACTTTTTCAAAGTAAGATAAAGATAATGCGCTATTCCTATTCTATACTTGAAGAAAGATAAATCCAGTTCTCTGTGAAGCATTGAATCTAAAGGTTTCTCTCTTTTCTTTTATCTATGAAAAAATTCAGGTAGATCATGCAGAGAAAAAAATATTTATCTTCTTTACATCTACGGTAAGATAAAATCATTTACGTGTAATCGATGTTATCTATTGGCTCTTCTCTTTTATTCTGTCTATGAGAAAATAGCACCATTATAAAAAAAGAAAAAAAAAATTTTTTTTCTTTGTGCCTGCAGTGAGATAAAACTACTGATGTGTGACTGGTTTTATTTATAGGCTACTCATTTTTATTTTGCCTATGAAAATATACAGGCAGACCATACAAAAAGAAAAAATATTTGTTTTTCTCTCAACACAGGAAAAGATAAACTCAGTTACCTGTAGAGCATTAACCTATAAACTCCATTTTTTAATTCTGTCTATGAAAACAAAGAGGCAGATTATCTAGAGGAAAAAAATATTTTTATTCTTTATACGTGCTGCGAGATAAGACTAACGTACGATACAAAAGTAGTGACAGAAGATGTCTATCCATATTTGTAATGGAGAAAAGAGTGCTGTAGGAAAATTTTTTTACCCAAAAGATAGAACTTTTACTCTTCTTTCGAATTGTATATAATTTATTTTCATTACACATTCATGAATGAAACTACGCGACAGAGAAGAGAAGTGCCTTTATTGAACAGTGTATGGTTCATGTTTCTCACACTGAGTCAATGAAATGAGATGCGAAAATAGAGAAACAATCATGCAATAAATTTATAATATTGATATGAATTCGTTAAAAATAGTTTGTAAATTGACAGATAATTATAATTAACCTTCATCTACAAGAAGTTTTTAATGAGTTCATAAAAATCGAAGTAATTATCGTTTTACAAGATCTTTTTCGTTAGCTCATATCAATATTGTAAATTCATTGCGCGACTATTTCTCTTTTTTCTCGTCTTATTTCATTTATTCATGTGTAACAAATATAAGTCATACACTGTTCAAAAGAGGAGAAAAAGTTCAACGTTTTGATAAAAATAATTTCTTTTCACATCCTTTTCTCGAAGAGATATAACGTTATTTATGTCTAATCGATCTGATGTATTGACTCTTCTCTTTTATTCTGTCTATAAAAAAGTATAGGCTGGCTATACAGCAAAGAAAACTATTTATTTTACGATACCTATGAATACCGAAAACTATTCACCGCTTACTTATGGAATCTAAAGACTTTTCTCTTCTGTTCTGTTGATGAAAAAAAATGCAGCGATTACAAACAAAGAAGAAAATTTTTTTTTGTCTCGATATCTTTGGCGAGATGATACTACTTACGTGTGACCGATTTCATCTATAGGCTTCTCTCTCTTGTATCCTGTCTATGAGAAATACAGGCAGAGACCATGCAAAAAAAAACCTTTTTTCCTCTATATATGCGGCGAAATCAAACTAATTATGTGTGACAAATTCAATGTAAAGTTTCTAACGGGTGACGCCAGGAATGTCAAGATATAGCCGAAGTTTCTTTGAATTTTTGAATCTGTGAAGAACACTACTTATTCTATACGGAATAAAGCATTAGGGCTCGTTTGAATACAACTTGATTAAATTTTATTGAAAACATCTAAATATACAATTTAACGCAGTAAAATTCTACTGTTCTTTTGATTAATTGAAAATTGATCTACTACGTGTTTATAGTTAATATCAAAATCACGTACAAGAGCCAATTGTGTTAAATCACTTAAACGTTTGCCAGACATTGAATTTCGAAAACGATCTCTCACTAGTTATTCGTGAAATTGGTTTTGTTGTAGCACCTTTAATCATTCTTAATGTTTGGGGATAAGTAGCTGATAATGGTATTATTCATTTAAAAATAGTCATCAAGCGAAGAGGCGGATCGGCAAAATACTAGATTGATGCTTAGTTGGTAAACATTTCTGTTTTTCATTTTATATTCAAACAAAAAAAAACATCCACCATATAGAAAAAGAACAAAAAAAAATTTCTTTTTAATTTATCGATGAAGGCAATGTGTTCAAAGAATCGTAATAAAACTTGATAACAAAAAGATACTTTGTTCATACATATATCAGTTTGTAGAGAATTTTGTTCTCTATCATAGTCCCAGGAAAATCATTTTAACAATCAGCTTCGATCATGTTTCTATTGGAATTTCTATAATCCAACGAAATCCTATCGGATCCCGGATTGCGATCCGACATCCGAATCCTTAGTGTTGGATTTGATCGAATCCTAGTATCAGAATTCGATTGAATCCCATCGTATGATCTGGCTGGCCTCTACTGTTGGGATAAAATACTAATTTGTGGACAAATAAGAAAATAGGTTTCTTCCGTCGGATCCGTTAATAGGTCTACAACCAAGATTTCCAAAGGATTTTATCGGCTGGTCGGATCCTATCAGATCCGATCGGATTCATTCATCTGGATTCTGTGCAAAATATTTGCGTTGCACTAACTTTTTTCATGAAAGCACTTATGTATTCTTTCAAGAACTACGTATAACATTAGTATTCAAATACAATACTCGTTTCCTAACTTCGAATTTTAGAACATTTACAGTAAAACCTCCCTATAGTGGACACCTATGAGACTTTTTAAAAGTGTCCATTATAGGAAGGTGTCCACTATAGAGAAGTGTCCACTATAGAAGGTTTTACTGTAATTTTGTGCAGCTTTTGATAAGCATTCTAGCGGTATATTTGAAGATTAATTTTGATAAAAAATTCATTGTAATCTTTTACTCGCACTATGATATTAAACATGTTTAAGAACCTGATTTCTTTCGAAATAGTTTACAATGTGAAAATTATTTTTCTTCATTGAAATATTATGCCAACAGATAGAGTTCGCTTTGCTTGTTCTAATAGTGTGCAAATAATATGATTCTGATGTTAGAAAAGCGAGCATCTAATATATTGAAAAATTGGACATTTTCATGAGAAACGTTCTTGTAATTTGAGATGATAATCAAAATCGCTGATTTTTATAGAGAAGCTAGTTTGAAGTAAGGACTATCTACTAGTGAAAAAAGAAAAATTTTATCTCTTGTTTCTGCTTTGCAAACCAAGAAATACGAAAAAACATGGAGGGTGTCCGGATACTTTTTGAAGTACCTGTAAACCAATAGAATTAGTCGGTCTTCTATCATTTCACTGCACAATGTTTCACCTAATCCAACAACTATATGAAACTGGTTAGAAAAAACAATTATCAATGATTATGTACGACTACTCTATGGAATTTCGTATTTTACTCAAGATTCGATGCAAAAACTATGATTAATTCATGTTCTAAAGCTCGTAGCTTATCGGTATCGATGGTAATATGAAATGAGCCGAACCCATCTCGAATATTCGCATCAAATAGTTAACCTTACTTAATATATAATCGTTCATGAGAGAAATAGATATGTTCATGTGACACATTAGTAATTAAATTAGATGTAGTTCTGTTATTTATTTCGATTTATAATATAAGTGAATTCTAGAAAGATTTTACTTATAGATGATGATTGATACCACTACTGGATTCTATTTAACTAAATATAAACTTTTTGAAATACAAAAAAAGTTCTTCCAGATGATTTTACCTTTTGTCTTATTATGAGAAAATTTATTTAAAATTTTTTTCTTTAGAGATCGAAAATTTTATTATTCTATTGAAAAAAGTTACATAAATATATGAAATTATACTTTAATAGATAGTTATATATATATATATATATATATATATTATAACGAATTCTAAATGCTACATAAAATGTCTGTATTAAACTAATAAATTGTTAATGAAAAAATAAATGTTCGAGAAAAATAAATTTGTTTAATTTTATGCCGAAACACCCAAAGGTAAAAGTGATTTTTTGAAAGTTGAATTAATAACAATAGCAGCACACCCATACCAAGCTATAAATGCAGTTATTATTCCAAACCATCCTCCTATATTAATAAATAAAGTTATACCAGCAAGATTTCCAATAATTAATAATAAAAATGTTATATTGAGTGCTGAAAATACAATAAATAAAAATTTTGATGTTCTAGATGCAGCAACATTCATTATTATTGTGAAAATAAACCAAGCTAAAAGAAAAAGGCCTGTTGCTTTTTTTGCATTTCCAACTTCTTTTATTTGTGGTAGTATAAAATGAACATAACCAGCAAATGACATCCAAAATGCTCCATAACTTGTAAATGCTGTTGCACCAAATGTATTATTTAGTTTAAATTCCCACATACCAGCTAAAAATTGAGCTAAACCACCATAAAATAATGCAACTGGTAAAACAACTGGTTCTAATTTATCACTGATTAAATATGAACCAGCATTAAATACTGAAAGCATAAATGTTGTTAGTGCAAATGCACCAAGACCAAGTGCACCTGGATTTGCTATTCCAGATTGAGTTCTAGTTAAATTTCCAATACGACTTAATAATTCTTGAAAGTGTTCATTTGATATAATAACTGAACCAGATGAATGATGAACATCAACAGGTGAACCTTTTATTGGAATCTTTTACAAATATATATACATTTATATTGATTTCTTTTTCTTTTGAAAAAAAGATTTTTACATACTATTGTTGTTTCTGTTGGTTGAGACACAAATGGTTCGGTCTCTGGAGAAATTGTTGCAAGTTTTGACATGATTCAAATTTCAAAAGTTTATCAAAACAAAAATGAAAATAAATATTCAAAAATCTTTATATTTTCATCATAAGATCGAAAAATATATAGAAATATAAAATTATCAAATAACGCTATTTCTATTTTATGGTAACCATACGATTTTTCTCTCTACACTAACTATTGCTTAAAAAAACCTATTATTTCTAATAAAAGTATCTTTCTTTGATTGAAATCTAAAATGTGAAAAAGAATGGAAGCATATGGAATAGACGTATTGAAGAAAAAAAAATAACAGAAAGTCAAGGTTAATGACAGGGTCTGATAACGCTATAGGCAATGAAAAGAAAAATATGTGACAGAACATAATGTGTCATGAAGGACACTCTATTACTTATTTCTCTGTAGAAGAACACTTTTCCTTCTAATGGAATAACATTAGGGTATCAATTGCCTTTATTAGACTTCAGTGTCATAACTGTATTCTTAACAGAATGAGAAAACGCTCTATGTATATTTATATATACTTTTGCTAAATATTCTATGGGCTAATATTGATAAGTCAACAATATTTTCTCGTTAAAAAAATAATAATATAAATAGTAATATTTCTATTTAATTTACTTAATTATGCATAAATTGAAAATAAATTTTATCTAGAAAAAATAAAACTATTTGATTATGTTTAATCGATTTTCGACTAAGAATTAAATCAATTAATAGATTGAAATAAATTTATAAAATATTCCATAGTAGTTCGATATTCTACCAATATTCCCATGGAAAAATACATTATTAATTTTATTCAAATATTCATAGTAGTCAGCTGTAGCAATATGGTCGATATCTAAACGAAACAATCTCTATTCAAGTTCATATAGGAGTAATTCTGTGGAAAGTGTATAACGATTAAGTCGATTTCGTTTTAATAAAGAGTAAAGCTTTTTGAATTAATAGAAATTGATATATTCTTTTTCTGTGTTAATAAATAATCTTAAAAATTTCTTCAAATGATCCTGTAATTGTTTCAAACCATCCATTCAATGAGTATTCATAGTTAATGCTTGTTTGTGACCACTCTGACTGAATAGTTAAGATGTTTGACACTTATCTACAAGAGACTGTGTTAGAACTTCGACTTTATCAATCATAGAATGACCTTGGACAAGTCACTAACGGCTGCTTTTGTCTCGAATCACCCATCCGATAACAAACTGATTGCGTGGTTGACATATACCAAAAAGTCCTTGTGGCTAGCATGTGGTCAGTCAGTATGTACGGGGAGCTTAAGTGATTAAGCACGAAGAACTAGGGTGTGGGTGTCAGTGTAGATGAAGAGAAGACTGACACCTGCATCTACATCCGACACACCCACGCTCTATCGAGATTTAAAAGTGCGATATAACTCGAAGCGACAATCATGAACTATGACGTCTCATAATATAGTATATTGTTCTAATCCGATTCCAATATTCATTAAGTTACACTTATGCACGAGGATCATTATGTATATTATCGCTAAACTGACAATATTTTTAAAGCTCATTCATCTTTCAATGATTTGAGATTTCTTTATTAGAAAACTCAACTGTTTCAAACGCCTTATACAATGCAGAATTGCAAGAGTTTTCAGAAAATATAAACATTACTTTAGGATAGCATGATCTAGCGTGATTAGGATAAAAAAACTAGAAAACCTTGATTTTAGCCAATCATCACTTTTGCTCATATATTGGGAGTATCTCTTGATGAATGATATTGTATAACTTAATGAGTTACTCAATTTTGTAGATAAAACATTTCTGCATCTTTTCAGACGTCTTCGAACGCAAAGTAATGAGCGAACACAGAAAAAAAAATGCAAAATACTAACAGCACCTAAAAAATCTAGATATCTTTTGACCAACTATCAAAGGGTTCATCACTTATATACTTTAGCATTTTTCACAGGCAAGTCAGAAAGAGCTAATATTTTGGATTTAGAGATTTTGAATAATGGTCTGTCATTTGAGGTATCTAAATCGAAAATCAATTTTAGTGACAGTCAGCGTCCGATAAAGTTGGTAGTTGGTTCAGCGGATCCTCTCTTTTAAGCACTATAGAGGCAAAATTAAAATATTCATAACTTTTGAAGAAAACGATAGGAACGAAAATCCTTATAGAATTTTTACTAGGACATTGAACAGTATCTATAGGCAAAAAATCATTGAAATCAGAGGGGCGGAGTGGCGCCTGAAAAGGTTCTTTCGCTAGCCGATTGCTGAAAATCATAAGTTAAGCCTAGCAGATTGAACTTGTCTTTTCTTTAGGAGATAGGTTGGCTTTTTTTCGATTAAAATATCGTAAATAAAAGTTCCAAACTTCTATGAAAAAGTAGAGCTTATCATGATCAATGTAACATTATCAGTTGTTCACATTTTTTATGTTCTGTTCTTTCTTAACGTAGTGGTTAAATCGAAATGAAAACTACATATTCGTGACCAGATCATCAATCTCTATCCAACATATATAAATGAATGAGAAACAAAAATCACTTGAGTTTTCCGTTTCTGATACGTTACGTACCGACTTGTTTCTTATAGTCGATGACAACACAATCGATCGATCATATTTTGAGATTTATGAGAGTGTTTATGCTGCAATGAATGTACGATGAGATTTTTTTTAATATGCCGATCTATATTTGTCATATAAGAAGCAATTTTTTCCACTATTGATATTCTATGACGTCAAGAAAGAAACAGATAGAAGAAAACATAGACACAGTGAGGAAATTCTCTTTCCTTCCTCTACGTGAAAAGTGCCCCACTACCATTGCCTACGAACAAAAAGAACGGTAAGGTGTGAGAAAAATGTCTAAATGGGATCTTACCCATTGTCATTCTACTGCTGTGGATGCCAGTACCATGTATATATATATAAGTTTATATTTATATCATGAATCTATACTAGAATTATTACAAGCTCAAAGGAATAATTTCATCATAGGTATATCATCAGTAGTTTAAGTTTTAAAATACTTTTCTCATACTCTAGTCTTATTTTCTACTGGAAACAACTATGGCAAACAAAATCATGACGTCATTCCTGGTGTCTTGCATTGTATTGTTATTGTGTCAAGGACCCAATCATGTTGAGGGTGCATGTTCTGAGAATTGGGGATGCTCAAGAAGTGGAAGGTGCTGGGGACTATGTAGTTTTTGGGTTTGGAACTGGTGTTGGCTTAAGGCTCCACACTGTAATAGGGACAGTGATTGCACGCCTCACCGTTGCGGCAAATGTGCTAGCAGGTGTAATGCAGGTGGTGATAGGTACGCTTAGGAAGCTCGGATGTTTCTTCTAACTTATGCGTGCCTTTCTCCCTTGCTTATGACTTGATGTGTGTTTTACGTTTATTCAAGAAGAGAAACGAATCGGAATGATTTTGTTGTTCCTCTTGTAACTCTTCCAAAGATGACCTAATTGCTATACAAAATAAATATCTGACTTGCTCAGTAAATTTTCTATTGAGTACATGATTCATTCACCAACTGGCATTAGGAAGAGTAAACGGTTGAAAACATTATGATCGTTCTGATGACATCAACTGAGTTGACCAAGTCTTCTCAAAGACAGTTTTAATGCGTTTCTAAGTACGTTTAGGCGCATGAAATTTTCAAATGGGCTATCGACGATTTTATGTGAATGACGTGTTGACACGTAAAAGTAGATTTAATTTCGAGTAGTGAAATAGGCATTCAATATATCGGTATATTTACTCAAATTGAGTTTAGTTTATCAGTACTATATGCTCCATAGCAAAAAGTACGCGAATTCACTCTTCTCATTCTTACTGACTAAAGTACAGAACAGTGGAATGACATTTCCATACGCATGCTAATTATAGAACGAATGTCTACTCAAAATATCAAATGAATTAATATCTGTATCTTCGAGTGTGAAGGTAGGGTGAGAATGAGTTACTACAACGTTTCATCTGAAACTCAACCAGAATCGTCAGGTGGTATAATCTTTAGATCGATTGCTAAAGAAATCAATTCAAGACCAAATTTTACTAATGATGATCACACCATATATAGAATAAAGTATAATACGATGAGAGAATCATCATAGGCTGTCTCCATAACAAACACTTAACATCGAACACATCGACCATCTTCTTACGCAGGTTCCACTTCACAACAATAACTGTAATGGTCCCAGTGAAATCTGTTCAATTCTAACCAAAACGTAACGTTTGTCTAGGAACGGCTATATCTACTCGCTCTCTTTATTTATGAATAGAAATCATTGATTTTTCAGAATCTGTCTTTTGAATAATTCAATGTGTAATTATATACAAAATATTATATCTACGCAATTCTAATGCTTGAAATTTTGCATCTCGAAAAAATTAAGAATTGCATCTATGTAGTATAATATCTTGAGTTACCACTCGACCACATTCCAGCAAGAGAAAAACAACCGTTGTCGTGAAACGCCTATATCTACTCACCCTCACCCACATTCTAAAACATTACAAATACTACTCTTTTTCAGAGTAATCCAATAAGGGTGTGGTTGTGGGTGTTTTTAGAACACCATTTATATACCACTACCTAATAGGACACTTAGTCAAAACTGAATGCTGAGAAACTTTTAAAGTGAGATGGAAACGCATTTTTTATGAGGGTGTG